TTTCTGATGAAGGGGCTAGGCCCGAAACGTCAGCCTTTTTGCTCCTATGATGCTGCTTGGCCTGCTGTGTTCATCCAGCTCTGCACCTTGTTGTCTCGGATTCTCCAGCATCTGCAGTTCCTACTATCTCTGCTCTCCATGAAGCCTTAGTTATTTTATCTTCCTCTTTCTCCTTCTCCTCTGCAACTCCCCAGACCAACATCCTTGATCCACAGACTGAATAGGACTGCCCTCCCCTTTTTTTTAACAGAATTCCTACAGTGTGGAGACAGGCCATACGGCTCAACAAGTCTACACCGCCCCTCCAACAATTCAAAGATGATTTTGGATAATTTCCTCAGGTCTGTGGAACACAATCCCTACTGTCCTATGCTAGAATATTGGCTTTAACATGTCAGTTTTCTACAACTTCAATGTACTTTCCTTTGGCGGGGGGGGCGGGCCTTGACTGATGTTAGTAAAGGGTCTATGGAATTAGCTCTCCACCTGAGTCTAATAATGACAATCATAGTTTGCAGGAAGGAAAAAACAACTTCAAAAATCAAATAATTTTTACCTATCATAGAGACATTAATGAAGAAATAACTGCCTGGTGCATTTTCAAAGCATTCTCAGTTCCAGCATTAAAAATGAAAATTCTGGAACGAACAGCATGGAAGCAGAGAAAGTGCCCATTTCAAATGGGTGAGCACCAGTCAGACTTTTGTCACTCAAGAATGCAGGGGATTCTTGATGGGACCTGATAGTATCTAACTGCATTTATTTTGAGCCCACAATTTTCTGGTGTGGCTGTCTAACTCCACAATGCACATGCACCACCTACAAGGGTCTGCTTTGTGAGAGCTACTCGAGAATGTAAGAAATAGGAGCAGGAGTAGGCCAGAAGGCCTCTCATGCCTGCTGCACCATTCAATATGATCACAGTTGATAAAGTGGCCTCAACTCCGCCTTCTCTCTGTATCCTCCTCGTGCTCGAATCCACCGGAATTCAAAAATCCACAGATCTCCATTTTTAATATACTCAACATGGAACATCCACTGTCCTCGGGGATAGAGATTTCCAAACAGGCCCTAGCCTTTGAGTGAAGCAATTTCTCTTCAGTTCAGTCACCAGACTATGAAGTAATCCTACTCCAATATCGCTGAATAAGAAACAAGAGCAAGAAAGACACATACTTCATCAGAGGAATCTTTGTAAATTCTTTCCAGGTAATTCACCACTCGTTGAGTCAGATTGTAATTGCTTGAATTTGTCATAAAGTGGCTCATCAGGAGCTGGAGAGTGTTGTTGAGTTGCTCAGCAGTAACAATGATAAAACAGCGATCAGTCTATGGGGAAGAAAATAATAAAGTGACTTAAAAATTGATAGCAACTAGAAACAAATGGTCCCATTATGACTATACAATAAGGCTGCATGAGCCAGTGATCCTGAGCCAGGCCCATGCACTTGGAGTGGGGGTTTGCAGACTCAAAAGGTACCAGGTTGAGTTCACAAGATCGAAAGCTAGAAGGTAGGAGCAGGAGTAGGTCATTCGTTCCTTCAATATGATCATGGCTGATCATCCAACTCAGTACCTTGTCCCCGCTTTCTCCCCATACTGTTTGATGCATTTAGCCCTAAGAACTATATCTAACTCCTGCTTGAAAACATTCAACGTTTTGACCTCAACTGCTTTCTGGTAAGGCAGAGAATTCCACAGACTCACCACTGTCTGGGTGATGAAATTTATCCTTGTGTACTAAATTATCAGAAAACAGAACAACATTTCTGAAGAAGGGTCCTGACCCGAAACGTCAACTTTCCTGCTCCTCTGATGCTGCCTGGCCTGCGGTGTTCCTCCAGCTCCACACTGTGTTATCTTTGACTCCAGCAATCAGCAATCTCACTATCTCTGATCATAATTGACTTCACCGTCCCTGAGACAGAGAGGGGAACATTGGCAAATTGCCACATTCGATCTCCACCTTATGAGCCCACTGTCTACCTTGGTTGCAAGTACGAACACCAAGAGAGTAGGGCAAATCATAATGACCCACGATCAAATAACCTGCTGACTATAACTAAGATCACTTCTCATGAATAATCATATAATGAAGGTCGCAGAAAGATACCTGGAACCATAGACCAGTAGAAGTCACCTTTAGGAGAAAACAAAAGGCAGGAATTGGACGCTGTGGGTGTGGGAATGTATTAACATGATGATAAAGAGACATTAACATGTGTGTCACCTTGGTTCCATGGTAGCACTCTCAATTCTAAACAAAAGATCAAAAGTTCAAACGCCACTCCAGAAAACTCAGCACATTATCTTGGCTAACAATCCCGTGCAGTACTGAGGGAGTGCTGCATTGCTGAATGTGCCATCTTTCTTTTAGTGAGGAATTTGCTGTGCACAAATTGACTGTCATACGTGCATGCAGAGTAAGAGTGTGTGCATTCACGATATATATCATTTAAGCACCTAGAGATAGAATATAAGGGATACTTTATAATCTTTTTATTAGAGCCGTTTCTTTTGTAAATAAAATTATTTGAATCAATCTCACCAGAAACAATAGGAAATTTAGGCACCAACTTTGATTTTTGACAAGAGGTTAGAATTTTGGAACAGAGTATCATTTGAACAGCTCACTGTGGTAACAAATCTTGCATTCCCAAATGCCCTCTGGGTGAAGAGGTTTATTCTGAATTTCCTATTGGATTTCTTGGTAACTGTCCAATGTTAAATGAAGCAATATTTTGACAACTTCCACCATTTAAAAGGACAAGGCGGGGTGGGGGGTGTCGGTGGCGGGGGTGGTGGTGGGCAGATACAGTGGAACGCCACCACCATTATGTTCTCTTTCAAGCCACACACACCATTTTTGACTTGGAATTATATCGCTATTCCTTCATTACCGTTGGGTCAAAATCCCTTCTTAACAGTGTTGTGTGTATACCTGCACCACAGCTACTGAAAAGAGGTGGTATACCTCCAACTTTGCAAGGGTAATTCAAGATGGAAATTAAATGTTAGCTCTGCCAGTGATGCCCACATTCAATGCAAGAATGCATTTTTTAAAAAGCCAACCTGGAGGTTTTAAATAGTGAACTTCAGGCCAACTGCATCTGCACAAAGTCATTCCCATACTAAAGCTATACAATTGCTCCCATCTTGCTTCCTGCTCAGCAAATTTGCCCCATTTAAACTAATCAACAGTATAAGCTGGAGGTTTTAAATAATGCTATTTTGAAGTTCTGTAAATATTTGCAGCATGCTAATAAAAGATATCATTTTACTCTTGCACAAGCTAATGGTCATTCAAAACAGTAGGCCTCACTTATGTTGTGGATTAGTTTAAATGGGGCATATTTACTGAGCAGGAGGAAAGATTGGAGCAACCTTTAGCATAGGTATGACTTCATGCAGACACAGTTGGCCTGAAGTCATATTTGTTGAGTATCAAATCTCCTTTGATGGCAGGATATATTTGTAACATTTGGCAGGAGCTACATCGGAACCTGGAAGATCCCCTCCAAGCCACTCACCATACTGATTTGGAATTATCTTGCCATTCCTTCCATGTCACTGGGTCAAAATCCTGGGATTCCCTGAGGAATCCCTACAGAAGCATCATGGGCTGCAGCAGTTCAGGAAGGTAGCTCACCACTACCTTCTTGAGACCAACTAAGTATGGACAATAAGGTCCAGCCAGTGATTTGAATATCCTAATCAAAACAAATGGGTCAGTATTTTAAAAGTTGTCATGTAAAAATAGGAGATGGTCAAATACCAACGTTTGATACCTCCAAATTTATATTGTTATGTGAACCTGTATTTAGATCTTATTGCAGTGGCTTTTGTGCTGCATGTCATATAGTAACACTATTCAAACTGTGAAATAGAATAATGTAAAAAGAACAGGCTTAATTTAAATGGCACCTAGTCCATGCTCACTCTCCAAAGTTTAAAAGTTGAGGGAAGTTCACCCGAAGGACGAACGGTTGGCTCACATCTGTTTACCATTGGCGGCTTTTCCAATCATGCATTATAGGAAGTACTGCCTCCCCTCAGGAACAGGAAATCCTGCCTCAGACAGGAACTGACCAATCAGAGCCTGGCAGTTCTCCTGTACCGGCAATGATACTACACGAGGCCTTTGGTGACTGTGGGCAGTTTGAGGTGGTAAAGTGAGGGATGGGACAGCAGAGCGCAATGACCAAGGAGTTTGGACAAGACTGGAGTCATGGCTGTGTCTTGAGGAAGCCCGATAAAAAACTGGGTTTGAAAAGGAGGGAATTCCCCTGCACCCCCTCCACCTGTTGTAAATCTGGGGAGGGTATTCTGTCAGGCTGGTCGCTTGGCACGTGACACTCTTATTAAATCTCAACAGTAACAAAGTGGGCCCTTAAGAGGAAATTAATTACCTACAGAATGGCATTAATTAGACTGCGTTAAGCAGTCCAATGTCCCCTACTAGAAGAATGAAGAGGCGATCCCACAGAAGCCTATACAACTCTAACAGGACTAGACAGGATAAACGCATGAAGGATGTTCCCAATGACTAGCGAGTCCAGAACGAAGGGTCACAGTTGAAAGATACAGGGTTGGCCATTTAGGAATGAGATGAGGAGAAATTTCTTCCCTCAGAGAGTGGTGAGCACATGGAATTCTCTGCCTCAGGTGCACAATTGTCTAATTGTTCTGCTTCAACATGAAATCAAAGTAAGTGTCACTTACCAATGCAGCAGCTTTCACATTTGTAAAGGTGTTGTACTTTATCATACTCGGAAGCAGATTATCATTCTGGGAAAGAAAGATCCAGTTAGACCCATAAAAACTATTACATTTGTTAAGTGACACTGAAGCATATTGAGGAATGTAAGATAGTCAGGAAGTATTACATTAGGGGGTGCATTAATGTCAGTAGCACTACAGTAAGGGATTAGAAGTGCAGAGTGTAAATTATTGTACATACTTGTGTAAAAATTACATTTTGAGACTAAATTTTTCACCGAAAAGTAGTGGGCTGACTGTTACTCGCGCAGTAGGGTATGTTAAAATTAGAGTTACAGGATTTATAAGAACATGGATGACAGGAACTATGTCCAGCTGAAGTTACAGTGAAATTGTCTGTTGGTTTGCTTTATTTCTCTAACCAGATTGTTGATCTCAATCTGAAGCTCTCCTGTTAACCATTTGACGTTATCGTAGATGTTGCACCATTTTTCTGTTGCAGTAACAGGCAGAAATAACAGAAGACACAAGCAGCAGAGTGCCTATAATAAAACACAGAAATGATCATGATCAGCCATGCCCAATAACTCGTTGGATACGTGAGCATGCAAACATATAGCATGGGAGCAGGCCATTCAGCCCAACAGATATATGCTGCTGTTCCCATGTCACACAAACCACCTTCCATTCAATCAACATATCATTCTAGTACTGTTACTTTCATCTGGGACTTGGTTAGCTCAAATGGTTTGCAACACAAAGTAATGCCATGATGTGGGCTCAATTCCTGCATTAGCTGAGGTTACTGTGAAGTACTCGCTTTCTCAACCTCTATGCTCACCTGGGGTGTGGTGACCTTCAGGTTAAACCACCACCAGGCAAGTTTCCCTGATGAGAAAACAGCTGTGTGGGCTAGTACGATTGTGGTGATTTTTACCTTTCTTTCTCATCTAGCTTCCCCTTAATATATCTATGAAAATTGTCTCATTCTTATGTGTGTCTTTTTCTTTTCTTTGAGCATTTTTTGTGAATGTTGAAGTATGATGCTAACACTGATCAGTACTGATATCAAGCAATTGTGAGGCTAAAGGGATCAAAAAAAAACAAGCGAACAAGCTATTGAGTTGGATAATCAACCATGATGTTATTGAATGGTAGAGTAGGCTTGAAGGGCCGAATGGCCTACTCCTGCTCCCAATTTTCTACGTTTCACTGTTTCATTCACGGATCAAAAACAGCACAGTCAGATGCAAAGCAAAGTCTCCTCCACTGGATGTTACTGAGGCTGGAAGGTTTGAATTATAAGGAGAGGCTGCAGCGTAGGAGGTTCAGGGGTGACTTCATAGAGGTTTTTAAAATCATGAGGGGCATGGATAAGGTGAATAGCCAAGGTGTTTTTCCCAGGGTAGGGGATTCCAAAACTAGAGGGCATAGATTTAAGGTGAGAGGAGAAAGATTTAAATCTGAAGGGTAACTTTTTTCCCCGAGAGGGTAGTGCACATATGGAACAAGCTGCCAGAGGAAGTGGTAGAAGCGCATACAACGACAACATTTAAAAGACATGTGGATAGGACATTGATAGGAAAAGTTTAGAGGGATATGGGCCAAATGCAGGCAAAAGAGACTAGTTCAGCTTAGGAAGCCTGGTCAGCATGGACAAGTTGGGCCAAAGGATCTGTTTCCATGCTGTATCACTTTATGACATCATGCTTCAACAACTCTCCTCAGCACAGGCCTGACAAGGTTACAGCACACCAACAATCCTGTGCATGTTTGTATGTACCTGGGGCAGAGGGTGATTGCTCAATGTTTAAGAAACACCATTTTTAACACGGAGGGCGTGTTGCACTGCAGCTACTACCTGGTTTTGGCTGACCAGGAGACACACCCATTCTTAGAGAAGGATTTACAGATTGATAATCATCTGTTTGGCTGTGTAATGACATACCTTCTGTGCTAACCACCCAGTCGTAGGGACACTACCCTCTCCCCTACAAGACCTCCGAGTAATCCTGTGCCCTCTCTGCTTGAGCCTGTTGATTTAGCGACAATTAGGATTACTGTCAAACTCCCTCATTATTATTACAGACGAACAACATTCAAATATATTTCATGTATCCATCCTATATATATGAAGTTCTGTCTCATCTCTCTGAACTGGATTTGAGCTCAGTTTGTAGAAGTGAAAAGCCAACATAAGATTCCTTAGGTTAACAGCCTTTGTGTCTTTAGTAATTCTTTCACTAGGGACCACAGGAAGTTTATTGTTGACTCTAAAACAGAAAAGACTTGGCTGAATTTTGAAACTGCAACTTGGTGATGTCATCAGTTGACACTGTGTACACTGAATCTAAACAGTGACAATAGCTTTATCATGAAACAAACACAGAGAATGCTGGAGGCCAGACAGCCTAACATCTGTGGTGGGGAAATTGTCAGAGCACGTAAACAAGGATAGGGTAACTGATCACCACAAAAAGTTTCAATTAATCAGGGACAGTCAGCATGGATTCATGAAGGGTAGGACTTGTCTGACAAACCTCAGAGATTTTTGGACAGGTGACAAAGATGGTGGACAGAGGTAAGTCGTGGATGTTGTTTATATGGACTTCCAGAAGGCTTTTGATAAAGTCCTGCACAACAGACTGTTAGCTGAGGTGGAAGCCCACAGAATTGAGGGTATTTTACTGACATGAATAGGAAATTGATTGAGTGGCAGGAAACAGAGAGTTGGTTAAGTACTCAAATTGGTGCCCCCCAGGATTCTGTGTTGGTGTCTCAATTATTCACAATATTCATTAATGACATATAATTATGGTATAAAAAGTCAAATATCTAAATTTGCTGATGACATAAAATTCGGCAGCACTGCAGACAGTGTTGACAGTATAAAATTACAACAGGATATTGATAGATTAGGGAAATAGGAATAACTGTGGCAGACGGATTTTAACATATGTAAGTGTCAGGTTACCCATTTTGGACCAGAAAAGGATAGGTCAATGTGTTCTTTTAGAAGGGCCAAAGTTAAATACAGTGGATATCCAGTGGGGGTTCAGGTGCATAGCTCTCTCGTAAACAGGTGCACAAAAATACTCACAAAGGCTAATGGAATGCTGGCTTTCATATCTAAAGGGCTGGAGTATAAGGATGCAGACGTTGTGCTGCAGTTACACAAAACCCTAGTTAAACCCCACGTAGAGTACTGTGAGTAGATCCGGGTATCATTCCTTAGGAAGGATGTTTTAGCCCTGGAAAGAGTTCAAGCCAAGTTTACAAAGATGCTATCTGGACTTCACCGGTTAAGTTATGAGGAGAGATTAGACAAATTAGTCCTTTATTCTCCAGAATTTAGAAGGTTAATTGGTGATATGATTCAGGTTTTCAGGGGTATTAACAGAGAGAGACAGAGTTGATAAAGATAAATTGTTTCCACTGGTTGAAGATTCTAGAACTGGGGGCATAGTCTAAGAATTAGGGTCAGGTTATTCAGGAGAGATATTTGAAAGCACCTCTACGTGCAAAGAATAGTGGAGCTTTGAAACTCTCTTCCTCAAATGGAGGTCGATGCTAATTTAGTTGTTAAATTTAAAAATCTGAGATAGGCAATTTTTTATTAAGCAAGGGTATCAAGGGCTATGGGCCCAAGGCCATGGGGTTAGGCCACAGATCAACCACGATCTTATTGAATGATGGAAGAGGCTCAAGGGGCTGAATGGCCTACTCCCTGTTCCTATATTCCTAGAATCTGAGCAGGCCTGGCATTTTCTATGGAGGGTGATGCAGAATTAGTGTTTCAAGTCCGGTATGACTTCTTCTGGACTCTGCTGGGTTTTGATCACTCTTTATTTCAACTAATTTCAGGAATTTCAAAGCTGCTGCACATGCTCCTGAGTGTCAGCTAATGTAGCATCGCCCAAATTAATATGTGGACGAGCCTCTGGGGTAAGCTGTGACATCACTATGACCTTGGTAGCCATGTGTTTTAATCTTCTGTTAAGGTCTGTACAGCACTGGCATGTTGTCCAAATTATAGAAAAATACAGGAGTAGACCATTCAGCCTTGTCTAAAGATTGGAACATAATTCAATTTGATGGTATCAGTGGGGCACAAACCCACCATCTCCAAAGAGCCTGGAGCTTTTGTCTTACATTGGAAATGATCTGGGCAAAGGTGAATGCAGTAAGCAAACACAGATGGTGGACCTTTGAAATTGAGTTCAACTAGCCACCTACTGCAAACTCAGGTCTGTCAGCTTTGCAGATTGAGAGGAGTGGGGTACAGTGGTAGTTTCTCTCACTGTAGATCTAGAGATCTGGTTGAAGTCCCAGCTGCTCCAGAGGCGTACAATAACACCTCTGACCGTGTTGATGAGAAAATATCTTCATAGAATGAGGCCATGAAGTATCAACACATTAATAACATCCTTAAACCAATTATTCTAAATTTCAAAGAAGTTCTAATACATTAGAAAACTCAGTATTGATTATTGCTAGTTCAACAAGGTTCCTAACATGCTTGACATTTACAATGAGATAACTGGGATTTTTGAACTGCCTTCCTTCTCGCTGATGGTTCCAGAAGTTAAAGATACTATGGAGAATTTTGAAAAATTCCCAGAGAAATCACAAAGGAATTTGTGGAGTTTTCTTTTGAACAGAGCAGCAAGCAAAGTACAGGCCAAAAGGGAGTTGTTTTTCGAGATTTCTGGATAGCAGAACATAAAATTTCACTATATTCTGTGGTCAAACATATCATTTTATAACTCTCCTTTCATTTTCATTTAATGTGCATTTACTGCCACAGTCTACCCCAAACAATTACCTACCGAGACCTGGCTGAATGTTGGCCATTCTTGCTCCTGAATCAAAACTTGTGGGTTGCAAACTTGAGCAGATAATTAAGGATGACACTTCACTGCAGTTCTAAGTGGGGGCTGCACTGTCAGAGATGCTGCCTTTGGGGTTAAACTGATGTAAAATTTTCCAGCAGAAAGTTCTCCCCAGTAAACAGGCTGAGATTCAAACCTCAAAATCTAAAATAAACAATCTGGCCATTCATTAAATTGGTATTTATGGGAATATGCTGCAGCCAAATTCACTGCCACAATTTATTGGCTGGAAAATGTTTCGGGAAAACCTAAAGTGGAGAAAGGTGATATATAGATTCAATTCCTTCTTTTAGTTTAATCACGATCAAAAGCTGGGTCACTTTCAGATTTTTAGTGGGAGTTTCTGTGCATGGCAACTGGCATATTGACATATTGACTTTTGTACAATGGAAAATATTTTACAGGCAATAATTTACAGCACTTCTATGCTCGGTTCTTCAGCTCTGCTATGAAACCTGAGTGTATAAGAACATAAGTAGGCAATTCAATTTGCCATCTACTTTAACTGCCCCTCCCACTCCCCTGGTGAAATGTCCATTCTTGGCACCCTCCACTTATCAGAGTGAGGCCAAATGTAAACTGGAGGAGCATTACCTGATATTTCGCCATGGGAGCTTACAGCCCAAGGGCCTGAATATTGACTTTACCAG